AACAATAAAGTATGAGAGTGCCAATTTCTTGGCAGTTGCACTAACATAGTATATTGTGGAACTTTTCAATTTTTGCTACTGATATATGAGAAGTACTATCTCAGTATAGTTTTAATTTGAATTTCTCTTTTTCAAGTGGGGTTGAGAGGAAGATGTCATCATACAGATAACCTGCACAATGACTCCCTCTTCCAACTGAGACTCTAAAAAACTAGGTAAAACAGATGCAGATAATGATACTGGAGTTATGAGCAACTAAGGAGAAGAGAAAGTATTAGATCCAGTGAAAAAAAAGAAAGAGAGTAAGTTAAATGACTGGGAAAAATAGGCAGGTCCACCCACCTGGCAGAGATGGAGAGGAATCCTTAGAAACACAAAAGAAGTTGAGAAAGGTGGGGGTGGGGGGCACCAGGGAACCCACAGGCACTGGGGACTCAGAATAGGCACACTGAGAGTTTTTATAGGTGCACTGGGACTTTGAGGGGAAGTGAAGATCTTACTGGGAAACAGATTGGGACCCACCATGGATGGGACTGCCACAAACACTGAAGGGGAGTGGGAGAATGGGAAGAGAAGGACTCTGTAAGTAGGCAGAGCCCTGGAGTGGGTGCATGACAGTGAGCTTGGGATCAACTCTTGGAAACCTTTTATGGTTTGGATTGGATCCATGTGCTGAATTTTTGCAGATTGTTGATCCACTCAGAAAGGTGTGGCCCCTTTTTCCTTCGGGGCTACTCCTGGATTTGAACCATGAGACTTTGACTGAGAGCTGAGCACCAGAGCACCATCTTCAACAGAGTCCCCCAAAAGGGCCCAGGCTATCCTGCTCATGCCTGCATTGCTGACTGAATTATCTCACCCCAAATGAGGAAAACTTCTGCCTTTCTATCCTGGGGTTTGCTTCTGGTATGTTTTCCCCTCTCTTTTTCCTTTTCTCCACTGCCTCATCCAATAGGAAGAACATATTAAACCTCCACTAGGCAACCATAGCTACTACACTGAATACTTCAACCAATAGACGAGTAACACCAATAGCTCCTGCACCACAGGATTGACAGATGGTAGCCAACACCTGTTTGTCCTAATCCAAATCCTCTGCACAAACAAACAGAGACTTGCACCCGCATGCCTGCCAGTGATTACACCAACACAGACAGAGCTGGAGAGTGACAAAGTACAGCCAAGTTAATAACCTAAGAAGTACACCTACTACACAAGTCCAGATATAGTAAAACATAAAATCAGGGTGAAACAAATCAATACATAGCTACCAATAAAAGACAACAATTTCAAATTGTCTAGGAGACAACAGACAACCTCAAATCAAACAAACAAACAAACAAACAAAACAGGAGAAGATAATAGAAACAAAAGTCCAGAGTAAAGAACTATGTATCTTAGAGGAAAAACAAGCACTAGAACTATCTCCGAAGGAATTCAGAAGGTTTATATATAGGACCCTCCAAGAACTCAAGGAAACCATAAATAGAAACAATGAGAAGATGGACAGTACCCTGGAACAATTCAGGAAAATCATTCAAGAACGAAATAACAAGATAAACACACAAGTAGAACT